TGTATTGCAAAGTTGTATTAAAAAAAATAAACCAGTTTTATATAAGAAAGGACTCGTGTCGCTAAAGTTTCGTCGGAACAAATTTACGGAAAATTAACTAACGAACGGAGGCGTAACATTATGTTCTTGCAGCTAAACCACACAGTACAGATGTCAAATGCCTGATCAGTTCCAGCAACATCCTTAAGACTTCAGACAGATCGATTATACATTAGGTCACCGAGAATCTCTATCTCTTCGTCCACTACAACATCCCCACTTTGTAGTGTGAGACCCAAGGCCAGTTGTTCTGTTTTAGCTCAAGAAGTACAATTATCGAGTCACGGAAACCAAAGTGAAAACAATAGGGGGTATTTCCATGGTGTCTTGTGGGACAAATGACAAAAGAAATCATGGAAATATTAGATCGAACACCCGAAGGTGAGACGAGCAACAAAGAATAAGAAGTTTAGATTAAATACTTGTAATTGTGTTGAACATATAACCATGTGTTATTTAACGTTCTTTAGTAAAGAAATACAATATTGGGTTGCCTTTTCTGTATATACCACAATTTAGAACTGCACGTCAGAAAAAAGCCTTGCGACTAACTAAATTCTAAGATCCATGAGTGAAACCAAACCCCAAATGTTAACGTTATGGTTCTAGTGCTTATGCTCAGTAAAAACTAAATATTAGTAAATCATCTAAAACCTTTTTTTTATTTAGTAAAATTCTGTTGAATATTTTTTTATTTGAAAAAGTAGGTTATACATATGACACAGTTAAGAGACTGATGAGCACATTCCAAGACAGAGAATGAATTAGTCAGTATGTTGGCTATCGCGGTTACTTTGTACAAGTAAATAGATTTGTTTTACATGAGTTAATCTAATTTGTAACGTAGGCCTATATGAAATTTATGACAGCTCAAGTTCATAGAAACATTGAAAATAAAGTAATCTATTATTGTTACGTGGACTAAACGTTGAGTTATTTTCACCAGCTAAAATAAAAGCACCCGTCAACAAGAGAATTACTCTACAATATTAACACGATGGCTTCAACTTGAAACGCTCATTCAAGATTGGTGGAATTTACGGAAAACAAGAAAACCTTACAACGCTTTTTACGTAATCACTTCCGGAAAGGGAACTACCAACGAAGAAATGTTTGTGTTATGTTTTTAGTTTCCGACCGAGTCTTGACAAAGTAAAAGTAATCTTAAATAAGTCTTAACTCTGACAGTCTAACTTCTAAGCCTTCTTAGGCTACTCGTTTGGTAAAAGTCAACTGTTATTTCTTGATGCACTAAAGTACCAAGGAAAGATTATTCAAAAAAATAATATATGACTCAACTGAGTGACATATTTTTTAAGAATGTATTTGTTCTTCAGGAAGCGCAACATTTTTGAAAAATACCGGATATTTTCTAACTTCTAAGACAAAACTTAACGTTGAGCTTATTTGCGTCGTTCATCAAGCTAATGGACCGTTTTAACCGAAATATATATATTCTTATTTTGAGATCATAAAGGAAGACTGTTTAGCTTCTAAAAATTTTAGTAAATTGTGAATTGGATTGTAAACTAAGATAATGGTTGGTATAATGCTCATGTATGGGTTATTCAGACTGATTAGGCTAAGCCTCCCCCCCCCCCTTTTTGCTGTATTAAAAACGAAAAGTTCTTACTTAGGCTTAAATACTAGGATAAGAAACCGTGTTTAAACAACAACGAGAAAGGTATCCTAGCAGACAACTTTTGACCATTCATGCCCTAACAACTCAGGCTGATATTCTACCCTGCTCCAGAAACAAAATTTTGATTAAAGCCACAAAATACACTGACAGAAAATGTAAAGACGCTCTCATATATATAAGACATATAACATTATAAGAACTTACGTACGAAAATTGAGAATATCTCCCATATTAAATAGTAACGAGACCTTCTGTTCAATACCACGGTTGACCATGCCGGCTGAGATACTACAAACATAGTAGTGGTCTAGGTGCTATTTATACCACCAGTTATTTGAAGAGCAACTTTTTTATTGTGAACTATAATTTTTATTAATTTTAGTTAAGTAATTTCACTTCAGAATTAGGATTATATATATATATTTATTAGCATCAAATTATTTATTTATTTTAAAATCAAATTGTATATTAATAATATTATTCATTTGTTTATTTTAAAATCAAATTGTATATTAATAATATTGTTCATTTGTTTATTTTAAAATCAAATTGTATATTAATAATATTATTCATTTGTTTATTTACTTGAATTAACTGTCACACAGAACTGGCAAACCCAATAAACTGGCATTTTTAAAACGTTAGTGAGTTTCTTAATTTTTAAAAGATAGACAGTTTTAAACTGATAGTAAATTATCAAGTAACCATGGCATCAACGGAAAATATTACATTGATATTTTTTTTTTTTTTATTCCTGTAAACTCCCAGTGAAGCATAGGGCCGCAACAACACCTCGCCAACGGAAGGTGTTGTTGAAGTTACTTGTAGCAGGTTGGTTTTTACGCGCCCAACCCTCCTCCTTTCTCATCCTGGACTTGGGACCAGGCAAAGGCGGAGGTTGGCATGTTTGGTGTGACGGGGATTCGAACCCGCGACTCTCAGATTACGAGTAGAGCGCCCTAACCACCTGGCCATGCCGGGCCACATTGATAATTATAAGAACTTTAATGGGTGAAAGTAAAGAAAACAAAGGATGGTGGATATGAGCCGTCGTTTTATACGATGATAATTCCGTAAACTATGTTTCCATTGTATATACCTCTGGTTTTTGTAATTTTCTTAATTTTTAAAATATAGTCAGTTTTAATCTGATAATAATTATATAAGTAACGATCTGAGTTTAATTAAGTAGGTGATAATAACAATAAAACAAATAAGCACAGGGCTACTTCTGAAGACGGCTTCACTGTAGCACTCGAAAAACAACTGTTGCGAAAATAGAAATGGTAGAAGCCTGAAGCCCAAGTATTCCCTGAACGCACCCGACGTCTACGAATGGGAGGTATACTCCTCCAACCCAAGTCACTCGAAGACTTTTGCTACATTCGCCACCCTTGGTCTTCAACCCCCCCCCCCCGGTCACTTGCCAGCCCCCCAAAAGCAATGACAGTCTCCACGCAATATTTCTTAGGAACGTTAATTTATCCTTCACGCCAGACGAAATACATCAAGCCCTTGAAGTTACAACCAACTCTACGATTCACGCAGTCCACCGGATCCAGTCAAAGAAAACAGGTTCACCCTCCACGTTCATGAAAGTTGTCACAACTTCCAAAACTACTGCAGATTTCATCCTCACCCACGGCTACTACCTTGATTACCATCACTTTAAGGCAGAAAAACTTTACCGTAAGCCTCACCCACGGCTGCTACCTTGATTACCACCACTTTAAGGCAGAAAAACCTTACTGTAAGCCTCACCCACCCCATACCTTTCCTAACCTACCCCCCAAGCCCATGCTTCTCAACACCCAAAAGAAATCCACCGCCAACCAGTACTCACCGCCCATCCTATTACAGTAGACTAAGCCACTCAAACCTCACCCACTCCTGAATCACAAGATATGTCAACCCAAACCACCACTACTAGAAGGAAAAAAGGCACCCAGACCCAGCCACAAGTCTCCACAGTTACCAACGACGCCTATCAACAAACCAAAAACCCGCCTCCCAGCCCCAAGCCACTTTATACTTCATCGGCGTCAAGCTCACCGAACGCCCTAGTAATTGACACCTCCCCCCGATCTTTACCTACCTGACGAACCTTTCTGTGCCTTCCGCCTACTGACCAACGACACCGAGGACTCCGCGCCTTTACCACTTGCCTGGAACCGGAACCTATTCAATAAGAAAACCTAGATGAACACCAGGAGACTCCACAACTCATTCAAAAGCTAATCAACCTCCAGCACCGGACTATACTTTGCCTTCCCCACTTACTTCTTCTCGCTAACCAGGCACTAGTAACGAATCGGTCGTTACCAGTGAAAGTGGGTTTTCTCGGGGTACTCCTCCCCCCCCCCCGACACACACACACATTAAATTCTCGGCATAGGATTTTTAGATCACCGTCGCCCTGATGGACCTTCGGTCCGACATCGGCCGTTTAGTTTAGTCTACTTTGCTCTTCACTTTTTATTATTATTTTTTTACCATTACTCTCACGTTTACCTTTTTAAACTTACATACCTCGTGTACATTAATTTCCTATTTTCTCAAGTTAAGCCCATATTCCTAGACCACGCGCGAGGTCAAGGGGGATTGTTTAATCTTCGAACACCCTTGATTAATTGTTGCAACCACATATTGGATAATTCGCAATTTTACAATACTGCGACAACAATGTAATGCTCTAATATATGACACCCACCCACGTGAGCCTTTTGAACTATCTTAACAATATTCTGATGGTTACATTAGATCGCTACACTACTTAAAGGAAGAGAACAGGGAGTGGAAAGCGGGAAATCTGTGTGTCAGAGAGAAGAAGAAGAAACACTGTAACACAAGTTTCACTCAGAAGTTTATATTAGGCCTAGAAGCTGATGGAAACGGTAAGAATGTTAATTGTTGACTTCGATTTAAAACATTGAACATGTTCACTAATGGTGGCTAAAACAATACAATTTTATGCAAACATTTTGAGTGTTCTCTTCTTACACATATTTCGCTCATTTTGTTATTAGGCCAATGTATATTTTAGTTTAGTTTGACTTCTTGATTGCAGAGTTTTGTATACAGAACATCAACCTATATTTCGACCATTACTTTTTTAAAGAAAAAGGGTGCGACACGTGACAGTTTCTTATCCAAGTACTACACCGACCAAATATAATATGCACATGTTATAGCTGCAATCCTGTCACAACACTGAAGCATCTTTATTCAAATAAATGTTTCAAATTTCAGTACAAGTTTTCTGTACTTAGATGTTACAGGTAAACACGATATGCCCATCTGCATACAATGTTTGAACCTCGGCCTTAGGCTGTCAAAATAGACGGCTTGTAGGGATGTGTCTTTTCTGTAAATAGACAGTACACAAAATAAGCTTTGAATTCCTTTGCAACGATGTCTTGCGTACTTGAAATTTGCAGACCTAGGCACACAACAGTCATTACTTCCCAGTTTTGATAATAACGTTAGTCCACTGAAATGTATGTGTCCTTCTGAGGATGATTAGATAGGGTTGAACTTGTATATAGTTTTAAGCAAAGATAGCACTTCAGGTCAGAATTGTCTTTCTGAAGAGGCCTTATTCAAAGAAGTTATATCCCAGTTGTTATTTTAATAAGAACTTTAAAGATCGTATACTATTATTTAAAAAGTATTTTCTTTGTTTTATAGTGAAAGAGCTGCTTTAGTCTTACTGGAATTGATAATAATGGAATAAAAATGTGCATACATATCACCTGAATGTAGAATTTTACCTGAGGACACCACGTCTAATTGTTTGCAGTCCAAGTTGACTAGAAAAGTACAACATTAAACTGATCAATGACTCAGAATATAAAGATCGTTTATTTGTACATAACGCTACTTTGGAACAGACTGGAAGCTTTAAGTTTGGTGTAAAGATTTGAGCTGTTAGATTAAAGGTTGCTAATAGCATGCGAAGATGTTAATTTTTAGTGATTAGCTAGCAGCACTAGTTCAGTTACACTTCAAAGTATAATGTGGTACTCTCTTCTTGAATTTGATGTCATGAAACATCAAAACCCTAAACCAGAAGAAGTTGATTTCATGGAATCAAGTCCCTCGTGTAATGTCCACAAGTCATCCCTGTGCGTCCCGTTTAACCAAATGATCGTACCTCACATTCTAGTCTTCCATATCAAACAACCTGCAATTTACAGAATAAGCTGAATGAAGTGAAATTAGTTAAGTGATGTAAAATAACTTGAATCAACCAGGGAAACACACACACACACACATATATATATATATAAAACTAAAATCCAGAAGTAATACGTATTCAATTTTATGTTCTCAATAAGCATGAGACTAATATCACCAACACTGAACTTTAACCGCAAAAACACAATGTTACCCATTTCAACACTTCATGATGCTGCCACCAAATGTAAGTTTTGTGAACATAGAAGTTGAATTCAATAAGCAGAGTGTATAGGGATGAATTTTCATACAAAGATACATATCCATCCTTAATTTTGAACTGATAGAATAGAAGATAGTCAGAGATCCAACTTCCATCTCGTCTGACCAAATACTAAGATCTGACCCTGACTCTTATAGTGCACCTATGATCCTAAAGTACAGTATGTATGTTGTGACAACACCCACAATTCCTCAGGTTCAAAGTTCTAGGATGTTAACTACTGGGTCGTGCCTGTTCCTTTTAGCTATAACAGGAGATGTGAGGACTTAGTATGTAGGTAGATAGGGGTCACGATTTGTCATGGTGGAAGAAGAAAGACATGGTATGAAGATGAAATAAATATAAAACACTTTTTATTGACAGATTATATGAAACAATATGACTAAGGCATTTCTGTTAATGGTTGAAACAAAATAAAATTAATACACTGCAATTAATTAAAATGAGATAAATGAAGGCAAAATGTGTGAATGGCACCAGTAGCAGAACAAGCAGTCAGGGGCCTCGGGCAAAGAAATGATCTGGGACCCCTTTTTTCAGAAGTCCAGACCACCAACCCCCCAGTGTCACGACCACGGGGCATTGCCCCGCGCTGGTTCCATCTCTGAATGGGACACTGTGTGACACATTTCACTAGTATGTTTTGTTGAGGAACTGTACGACACATTTCACCAGTATGTTCTGTTGAGGAACTGTATGACACATTTAACCAGTATGTTTTGTTGAGGAACTGTATGACACATTTAACCAGTATGTTTTGTTGAGGAACTGTATGACACATTTAACCAGTATGTTTTGTCGAGGAACTGCATGACACATTTAACCAGTATGTTTTGTTGAGGAACTGTATTACACATTTAACCAGTATGTTTTGTCTATTTTTAATGCTCTATGTAATTCTTTTCTTGGATCGTCACATTCACTAAATGTTAAGAAACATTTCATCTTTTGACAGGTGAAATTTTGGTATTGACTACATCAGATCTGAGGAACAACGTTAGCTCGGGAAAAATATACAGACTACAAGCGAATACTATAAGTAAGTTTCCATTACGAGGATATACAGACATTATACAGACATGCTATAAAAATCGTATGCTTTCACTATTAGTTTTATAAGCATATAAACAAGGTGTAAAAAAACGTTTTTTACAAAATATTTCTATCAACTTCTTTGATTTAAGAATCTAAACACTATATTATTTTAACCAAAGTTCAACACTACACAACAGATATTTCAAGAAACTGAAAAACTCACGAGACTCAGTTTACCTCTTCAATAACCTGGAATCGATTTTAATAAAAATGAGTACAGCTTCCAGCACAATGAACAAATATTAAAATACATACAAATTTTTTCTTCTTATTGTTGCCAGGGCAATAATTGCTTATGTTTTGGTCATACTACAATTATTATTTTCAGTTTTTCTTCGTATGTAGTCAGAAAATGTTATCATTATCACACATTTTTGATTTTCAACCATGATTTTAGAAAAGATATCTTCAGAGTATTTTTTTCTTATATTCATTGAATAACACAAACAGTTTTTTTACAGTCTTTCTTTACTTTTTAGCATAACATACTGAATGTATTATTATACAGAGGTTGAGTGTATTATACAAAACTGATATTTGGGGAGTCGCCACAATGATATAGTCAAGTCGCCACATTGATATAGTCAAGTCGCCACATTGATATAGTCAAGTCACCACATTGATATAGTCAAGTCGCCACATTGATATAGTCAAGTCGCCACATTGATATAGTCAAGTC